ACTGACAGATAAATGGATGTTACAAGAATTTCAACAAACAAGTAAGTATTTTGTAAATTCTATGGTCATTATACTGATCTTATTAACAAATATAAATGTATGATTGGATCGTAGATTTGTTGACGTTTCATACCAATTGTCGGGCCTTTTTATACTAAATTCGACTTTGGAATGTGCTGTCTACCTGGTTTATACATAGGGCTCACGGTTGTGATTGGTCAACAGGAAATGCTTACTTTTCCTAGGCACCCGATCCCACCTCTGGAACTTCCAGGGATCCGTGTTTAATGCCCTTTTCACAGATTTGTATTGTGATCGATCACTGTTACTGTTAGTTATCTTCACTTTTTTCATTTATTAAATATTTTCAATAGATCTAGATATTTACACAGGTACTTGTGGACAGGACCCCCCCCCCCCCAATATACACCCCGAGTCAAAAATTTTTTTTATGTCTTTTTTTCTTGAATTTTTCTTCTAGTACACTTTGACAATGTATTCCATATGAAAAATAAAAAAATAACGTAGAATTAACGTTTTATTGAAAAATAATACCCGCGGTATCATAAAGTAGAGAAGGTGAGTCACTTCCATTTGTTAACACTGGACCCCTCTGGGATATCAGGCCTGAAATATCATTTACTTACTACATGTCACCAAAATGTGTCACGATATCTTGTTTCGGCAGATATTTTTGTCTTTAATCGTGATATTTAATTGCCTAGGCATTCCACAATAAGCATTCATCGTCAAACGTGAAAAATACAACAGGATTTGGAAATGTCAAAGTAAAAATTAAGGAAATGATGCAAAAACGACACCTAGCGTGTAACTCTCGAGTTTCGAGTGTAATAGAATTAAGGGAAAAGCCTTTTACTCGTTTTTGCATCACTTCCTTAATTTCTACTTTGACATTTCCCAATCTTGTAGCATTTTTCACGTTTGAAGATAAATGCTCGGATTATTGTGGAATGTCTAGGCAATTAAATAGCACGATTAAAGACAAAAATATCTGCCGAAACAAGATATCATGACACATTTTGGTGACATGTATTAGGTAAATGATATTTCAGGCCTGATATTCCAGAGGGGTCCAGTGTTAACAAATGGAAGTGACTTACCTTCTCTATTTTATAATACCGCGGGTATGATTTTTCAATAAAACATTAATTTTACGTTATTTTTTTTCATATGGAATACATTGTAAATATGTACTAAGAATAATCTATGAAAAAAGACATATTTTTTTTACCCGTGGTGTAAATCCGGGGGGGGGGGGTCCTGTCCACAAGTACCTGTGGATATTTAGCATAGTGTAAAGATCGGGAATGCAGTCCAGTTTATTTCATTCAAGTTTATGGAAACTGCTTAAATCTCTCTCTCTCTCTCTCTCTCTCTCTCTCTCTCTCTCTGACATTTTTTGAGCATAAATTTTTAGTAAGCATTTACTCCAAGATATGATTTGGAGTAAATCTGCAAAAAAAAAAAACAAACTGTGATCAAACTATGCAGCGTTTACGCCTTTTTGAGTTCGATGGATAGGATTAACTATTTTATCCTATCACATAGGCTTCACACTTTCATAAAATATATACAATGTAAGATAGGATGTGACCGGTCTGCAGGGGATGCTCACTCCTTCATGGCACCTGATCCTACCTCTGATGTTTTTGCTCTGGTCCAGATTTGTATTGATTGAATGCACTTTTATATGTGTACAACGTTATTAAGTAATTTTTAGAGGTTAAAACCTGCTTACTTAATTTGATATTGATTATGATGATATCAGCATCTCACGCTTCGGCGTTATCATAACAACTTTTGTTTTTAAAAGACAGCTGTTATGTGTACAGAAGTCAGTCGATAGTGGGGGATCAACTCAGCATACCTTGTTCCTTTCTTTTTTTAATATATAGTGCTGCTGTGGTTAACATGAATTGATGACAATTCAATGTGCAAAATGTAAAAAAATTGGTAAGGATTCATGCAAAACTTTGGAATATTTTTTTCTTTGTCGAGAGAGTAGGATTCTAGAAGCACTTTTCATGACCCAGTGATACTTCTGAATAATTATTTCCACAGAAAGAAATGAATTATTCCCGGGGTAGTGTTGAACTTTTCAATTTTTCATTAAGGCAATTTGTTCTATTTATAGACGTCGCGTGATGACGTCGTAGTGGAGTGCTTCTTTTAGCCTAAGACTGGCTGACGTCTATACAATGGATAATAATAGTAAATGTTTAATCTATGGCTTTTCCGATTTATCAATGTTACATTTTACGAAAAAGTATAAATTCGCAGAAAAATGATTTGGGTATTACCTTAACATACCATCGAATAAGACAAAGTGGTAAGTAACAACATTAAAAAGTCTAATTACGTTTGACTACATTATCATTACTGAGTGTTATATTGGATTCCGAAACTTCATAAAAACCCTTACAAACAAAGATACATAGCGGGCTCCAGTAAATGTTCTACCAAGCCTCTTTCTTTACTCCTCACTAAGATATTAACAGTAGTGAAGGAGAAACTTCAAGAGTACTGTGAAACAATATATTCGAGAAGTGGTGTAAATCAGATGTGAATACTAAAAAATTCCAAGGAACTTTTGGAACATTTGAAATCACAAAAAATTTTACCAAAATCAACAACAACTTACGACATTTCAACTTTGTATACAACTATTTCCCACGATAAATTAAAGTCCAGACTTTCTGACATCGTTGACAGCTGCTTTTTCAATAAAAATGGAACTCGTAAATTTACTTACCTTGTCATTGGTCATTTACAAAATTATTTGTGTTAAAAAGCACTCTGATTATATACACAAGTACTCTGAAGTTGACATTAAAAAGATGCTCTAGTTTCTGATTGACAATGTCTATGTGGTTTTTGGAGACCAGGTCTTCCAACAATCTATTGGAATTCCCATGGGTACCAATTGCGCCCCGTTATTAGTAGACCTATTTTTGTGTTCATATGAAGCAGAATTTGTTCAAAATCTTTTAAGTGAAAAGAAGAAAACACTTGCTGTGGCCTTCAACTCGACATTTAGATATATCGACGACGTATTGTCAATTAACAATGGTTATTTCCGTTCTTATGACGATACGATATATCCCGGTGAGCTTGAGATAAAAGATACCACAGTCTGACACATCTGTTTCATATTTGATATTTTATTAGAAAAAGACGTTAATGGTAATCTAACAAGCAAGCTTTATCATAAACGTGATGACTTTAATTTTTCAATCGTCAGCTTCCCTTACTTTTGAAGCAATATACCCTTATCACCTGAGTACGGGGTTTATATCTCTCAGTTGGTTCGATACGCCAGAGCATGCTCTACGTATGAACAATTTCTAAAACGAGATAAGTTATTGACAAACAAGTTGATGAAACAAGAATATCAACAGTATTGTTTAATGTCATCATTTCTTAAGTTCTATGGTCGATACAATGACCTTGTCAAATGCTGACTGACGTTTTTCATACTAATTGTTAGGCCATTATTTACACACTGAATTGTCGATAGATTTTTCCGTTATTCCCCGATCATGACAAGGAGCAACGGCGGGTATGACAGGTCGGCAGGGGATGCTCACTCCTCCATGGCACCTGATACCATCTCTGAAGTTTTAAAGGTCCAAGTTTGCTCTGCTCTTATTTTATAATGTTTAATGAACTTTTGAGCTCGAATACTGTTCGTTATCTCCACATATTTCATTCATAACAATTTTGGATCAGATATTATTTAAAGTGGACCATGCAAAAATTGGTCATTTCGTAGATTAAAGTGAAACACAGCTGGTTGTTATAAGTTTTGGTCCATATAACCATTTCAACCTTGATCAGCAAAACCAACAGTGACTGACGATTTAGAAATTACCCCCCAAAACCCGGGTTTCGTCACAATATTATAGAAAAAAAACAAGTTTTTATAACAATATATATAAAAACAATATTTTTAAACTCGTTACAGCTGTATTATAAAAAATAATAATATATGTCATATTAGATACTGTTATTCTTCAAATCAACTCTACACCTATACAAGGTTTAACTTTTTGTATGAATTCTTTCATCTCCATATTTAACGGTTTTTAAATAAAATATCCACTGTTAAGAAATCATAGTATATTTTTAAAAAATACTTAGAAGATACCTTTAAAAAACATACAAATTATATCAAAAATACACTGTATAATAGAAAACTAATGGCATATAAACAGACAAGTATGCATACTTTTCATATTAGAACTTGCACTTCCAGATTTTGTTTGTAAAGGTACAAATTTCTCATTTCTTCTTTTTGTCCTTTGATCGCAGCACAGGTAAAGCTATTAAAAAGAAGCGTGGCCTAATTTGTAAGGGAAATATTAACTATGGCATCATACAAAACTAATAATTCTTAAAAATTCCACAAAATGAAATGATTTGCTGTTTTAAACTGTAAGAAACCATCAAACTACATCAAAACTTACCACAACATGCTGTTTTGTTATTAGATTAGTTTTTTTAGCAAGGTATAAACAGGTCACAGGTCGCAATGCACGAGTCGATGTGACGTCATTTCATAAAACTTGACGCAGCGAAAAAAGTATTTTATAATTAAATAAAATTTTATTTGCAGATATCTTAAAGGCCATTAACTTGTATGCAATGTCTTTTTTATGATTTTATTCACATATTTTCCGTACATTTCCTATTTAATTGATTTCGTTGTATATTTGTATGCAAGTACATAGGAGGGTAATGTAAGGGTCTCAATAAATCGATCTAGTGCAATGGCATACACTCAATCGATCATAGTAAGATTTTACAAATAATTGAATTAATTATTCCTATATCTAATACCGTTGACCAGCAAAAAATGGAGTATGCAGTCAAACAAACATGATTTTAACAATGAAATAGCAGAATCTTTATAGGATCGCAGCACTTTTCAGAATGAAACAATGCATGTTAAAAATATTTAATATATAATTTTCCTCAAAATATAGTTAATAACGATATATACATTTGTCCGATATAAATAACATACTAAAAATAATCGCAATCCTGATTTTGAATATATTTTTAAATCACAAAAATTGCCGATATTTCCACTGCATACCTTAACTGTACTGCGATCAGATTCAAATATTGAACCAATATTTAGATAATGAAGGAAATCATAGAAATAAGAGTGGCACTTATTAATAACCAGATCATCTTTATTCTTTCGAGTTTTGTTGAACCTGAAAAAAAGAAAAAAATACATTGTTACGAGGATTATTAAAATGTCAACTACAGTCCCGCTGGACGCGTCATTACTGGTGATGTTAATATAGTTGAAAGTGAAGACCTTAAAGCAATCATTGTAAAAGGCTCTAAATACAGGGAGTCCCGATCTTTTAATTGGCGACAGAACTTTATTTCCATTATTAATTCTGTCGAAAATTATGCCAAACGTTGGACTAAATATGAAAAGGAAGACCTGAACACTTTGTCAGAATGGATTAAGTGTTTTAGATATATATTAAAGATTCGTATTAGAAAATTAAAAGGCAAAATGCAAACCATCTACCCTTCCGTTTTTACTAAACTGGAAGTGATGAAAGAGTTAGAGCAACTACACGAAAAATATGCTATGGTTCCAGCAGACGAGGCTGATAACAATGTCGTCTTTGTTTGTAAGGCTCATTATAAAAAAAAATTATTTTGGAAGAACTTCGTTTTAATTCTACGTCTGAATATCCTACATATACTCACAGTTCACTTTCTAAAGAAGAAATTCCACAAAATCATATTTCAGTGTTAAATACTTTTAATATACCTGTCAACCAACGTCAGTCTGTACTGGATTCGTAAACTTCATAAAAATCCTAACAAATAAAGATACATTGCTTGGTCCAGCAAATGCTCCATCAAGCCCTTATCGTTAATCCTTACAAAAATATTAACTGCTGAAACTTCAGACGCACTGTGCTATAGCTTATTCTAGAAGTGGTGTAAATCAAATGTGGATCCTCAAAAACTCGAAAAAACTATTAGAAATTTTAACATCAACAAATTTTTCAAAAGTCTATAACATCAAAACTTACGACTTCTCTACACTTTATTGGACAAATCCTCAGGATAAATTATTGATATCATAGACAACTGCTTCTTAAATAAATACGGAACTCGGAAATTTTCACATTTTGTGATTGGTCATCAGCAAAATTACTTCGTTAAAAACCACTCTAATTGTACACACTAGTACTTTGAAGTTGACTGTTGGAATTCCATTGGACATTAATTGTGCTCTTTCATTAGCTGACCTATTTTTATGTTCTTTTGAAGCAAAATTTATTCAAAATTGTCAACACGAAAAAAGAAAAAAAAACTAGCTTTGGCCTTCAATTCGACATTCAGATATATCGACGATGTTTTACCAATTAATAATACTTATTTTCATTCGTATGTCGACTCGATATATTCCAGTGAATTAAAATAAAAGACACAACAGAGTATGCCACATCTGTTTCATATTAAGATGTTTTATCGACTATAAACGATAAAAGGCAATTAACAACTAAATTGTATGACAAACAAGATGGCTTCAACTTTTCCATCGTCAACTTTGAAATCCCTATTTATGTAGTAATATTCCGCTATCACATGTATATGGTGTTCATGTCTATAACTAATTCGCTACTCAAGAGCTTTCTCTGAGTACGATCAATTTTTAAAACGAAGCTGGCTATTTACTGATATGTTGATGTTACAGGGATTTCAACAGCCTCGTTTAAAGTCAGCATTTCGTTTTGTTTTGTTTGTTCGTTGTTTAACGTCCCTCTCGAGAAATTTTTACTCATATGGAGACGCCACCATTTGCTGGTGGAGGGCTGCAAATTTATAACTTTACTTCGCACTTAGGGCCATTGAGCAATGAGGGATCTTTTTCGTGCCAACACCTACTGCGACACAGGACCTTGGTTTATACGGTCTCATCCGAACGACCGGTCTCCACGTCCCGCAGTGGGATTTGAACCCGCGACGTAAGGATCAGCTCCTTAATCCTCGACTCTAGAGCGAACGCTCTAACCACGCGGTCGACATGTGTAGGGATGATTGTTTAGAGTGTTTATGTATTTATATTAAATTCATGTCATTTTATTAAGTTGGTCCTCAATTTATAGGTAGTTGAGTCTTAAGTCGTGTATATCAGGAGTAATTATTAATTATTTCGAAATTCCTAACACTAATAAGAACACTTTATTAAAGGTTGATAACCTCAGCTTTTGAATTTTTCTTATGCAAGACACTTCATAAATGTACCTTGTAGAATTTGGAAGAATAATACAACTCATATTGGCGGAACTGTCATGGCTTTTTATTACAAATTACATTCACAGTTAACATGCCACTCGCATGTTCATGCCCTATGCGCCGATCTTACCACTTGTAAGCTTTTGGCAGCATAGCATTCACAAATATTAAACAAACCATATCAGAGCTGGGGGACCTGGAGACAACAGTATCCCTCAGCAAATGGTTACTTGTCAAAATTGCGCTAACACAAAACAGTCAGGATTATCACATTCACAGCGAAGTCCACAGTATTCTTCATCAGTATATAAGCCATGACGATTTCTGAAATTGAAAGAAAGCACACAGCAGAAAAGGAACCAAAAACATTTATTTAATAAATTTAAAAACTCAAACCAACCATAATATTTAAGGGAGGGAAGGGAGGGGATTTCGTCTGCTCTGAACAAGATGGGGAGTTGAAAAGACCTAGCGCATGCTCATTAATGCTGATGTATTATTAACCATAGAATCGTCATGATAGGACCATATAATTCCGGAAAACGGGTTGCTCTTTGTAAGCAATACGTAATTTCAAAATGGAAAGCAATAAGCGTCATTCTCAATAACTGTATTTATCTTTTAGGGATAAATCTGATTATTTCGAAATTCCTAACACTAATAAGAACACTTTATTAAAGGTTGATAACCTCAGCTTTTGAATTTTTCTTATGCAAGACACTTCATAAATGTACCTTGTAGAATTTGGAAGAATAATACAACTCATATTGGCGGAACTGTCATGGCTTTTTATTACAAATTACATTCACAGTTAACATGCCACTCGCATGTTCATGCCCTATGCGCCGATCTTACCACTTGTAAGCTTTTGGCAGCATAGCATTCACAAATATTAAACAAACCATATCAGAGCTGGGGGACCTGGAGACAACAGTATCCCTCAGCAAATGGTTACTTGTCAAAATTGCGCCAATTGGATTTCAAGCATAATGAAATCCAACCGCCATCAAAGCGGCTGAATTTTGACCACAGGTAAAATATACCATTCACAAATTACACACAAATTATTTCATAACATCTTCATAAAGCCACAACAGTTCCAATTCCAAAATTATGCACTGTTCACTTTGATGGATAAACAAAACCATTACCAGAGCAAAATTGCCTAAGAGCAGCCTGCATTGTTGACAAAAAGACATAATTACCTAAGGGAGATAAGTGAACTCCATCATTAAGAAAGAGTTTACTTTGAACAATACTGATGTCAGGGTACTTAATTGAAGCACCACCTGACTTTAAAACAAAGCTAGCAATAGAACTATTAATCCTAGATCTTGATTTCTCTGCAGCAACATTTGAAATTGAATGACGCCAATATACCCTGGGCAAAATATGTGACCAGACAATGCATGTCAAAGGCATAACCAAACTCAACTTGTTGATAACAGTTTTCATAAATTTTTGTTGTCTTCGTAATGGGTTATTAAGTTTGGCAATGTCATTACCACCTACATGGATAACAAGAAACCTCGGATGTGGCTTTGTAGAGGACAGGTCAGAAATGACCTCAGAGAATTTGGCAAAACTCAACCCTGGTATTCCCTTCCATAACACTTTTACCCCTGGTAAAGAAAGGTCTGTGCCAAATTCCGGAGAACTCAAAGAAAATTGTTCTGCTCTTTTAATAAGGGATGATCCCACAATCCAGATTGAATCTACAAGATTTATGAACAATACATAAGCAATGATTACAATCTACACAATTATGCACTTGAAAACAGCAATCAAATGAATCCAACTCCAATTATAATTTTGATATCAGGTTAACAACAATATGAAAATGATGTAACCATCATAATAGCATTATTTGCATCTAAAATGTAATCAACTTAGGTCTGAGATAATGTTTATATGCATCTGACACCCATCTTCCCTTTCTTTGAATTTCTTGTTCAGATATGCCCGACAAATACATGTGAGTAGCAGCTCCTATTCTAAAAGAGTGCGTTTTGAAAGTTTTTGTTTCAATACCTAAAAATCTCAATGCTTTGTGTAATACACTTGAAAACTGGTATGCCGATAATGGTGTACCATTGATATGACAAAATAGAGGGCCATCCACCAGAGATCTGAATTGCAAGAAAGTTTCTAACAAATTAAAACACACTGTTGACTCTACTGATTTGCTGATAGTAATGACTAAACCTTTTCCACTCTGATCTGTTTTAGAAAAACGCAACTTTAATTTGATATTTTCATTACTTAACTGTAAATCTGAAAGGTGAAGTACATTTCTTCGACTCTTATTTGATGCTACTGCCATTTCACTTATTCTAAGAAGACCAAAAAATGCAGTTGCAAATGTAGACCCAAATAAGAAGTGCTCATATTTTGAATGTGTAACCATAGGTAAAACATCCAAAATTTTTAGTAAAAGCTGATATGTTACAGGACTTCTGATGTCCTTTGTAGGCTTAGATCTTCTTAAACCTGTTAACATTTTTTGCACAATGAAAGATTTGACTGGATTGTCCAATCCGTGCACTTGCAAACTGTGACTCAGGGCTGATAAATATACATTAGCTGTAGAATGAGAAAGATTTTTTGATGCTAGAAAAGCCACAAAATTGATTACATGATCTACTGGAGGTGGCCAAGATAGAGGCAAATTAAATTGTAATCTGAAGTCATTAAATACAACCATGGCTTTGTCATATGCAATTTTTGTGTTGTTGGAGAGGTTAGCTTCTATTAAATGATTGACATGCCCTTCAAAAGGTTCCAAAATTGAATAGGTACTTGATAAGGATGGCAATCTGCCCATGGTGCTAACTGCCTGAATCTGTTCCACTGCAATCGAGAAATTGAATCTGCTATCTCATTTATACAACCTCTTACATGAACTGCTTTAAACTGAATATTAAACTTCAAAGAAAGCAATACTAATTCTCTCATCAAAATTATTACCCGTTTATTCTTAGATGTTTTCCGATTCAAGATTTCAACCAAAGCTATATTGTCAACATGCAAAATTAATTTCTTATTTTGTAATTTGTCTGACCACAAGTAAAATCCTAAAACTATAGGAACAAACTCTAAAAAAGTGATGTCTTTTCTTATATCAACATTCCACTCCTGTGGCCAACAGAGATAAGACCAGGAAGTACCAAAAACCACACCACAACCCACTGAACCTGAGCTATCTGAATAAAATTGTACATTTTTGTCAGATTCCCATTCCAATTCTGGAAATTTTGTTGTTCCATTAAATTCATCAAGAAATGTTAACCACATTTGGAGGTCACTATGTATTTCTTTGGAAAGTCGTACAAAGTGATGTGGCTTAGAAACACCAGACATTAAACCATATAAGCGGCATGTAAATGCTCTACCTGCTGGCAAGGCCTTTGTAATAAAAGCTAATGAGCCAGCTAAAGACTGAAGCTGCCTTAATGTAATCTTAGATTTCCCTTGAATTTCAAGTATTTCTTTTTGTAAAGATTCTACTTTATCCTTTGGAATGAAAATTGACTGATTAACTGAGTCTATACCTAAACCTAAGAACACTATATATGTTGTTGGACCTTCAGTTTTTTCCTCTGAAAGAGGAACACCTAATCTTTTACAGATATTTTGAAAAAAATCCATCATATATTTACAATTGTTTGTTCCATGAGCTCCAGCAAATAAAAAATCATCTAAGTAATGAACAATATTTTTCAAGTTGGTGTTATACTCTACCACCCATTGTAAAAAACTGGAAAATTTTTCAAACAAAGCACACGATATGGCACAACCCATAGGTAAACATTTGTCTACATAATATTTATCACGAAACTTAAAACCAAGCAGACTAAAATCTTCGGGTCTAATTGGTAACAACCTAAATGCATTTGAAATATCCATTTTCCCTAATTGTGCATTTGTCCCCAGTTTTTGTACCATGCTAACGGCTTGATCGAAAGATGAATAATTAACTGAACAAATTTCAGGATTAATGAATTCGTTAATACTCTTTCCATGTGGAGCAGATAAATTGGTGATTAACCTCCAACCACCCTGTTTTTTAGGTAAAACTCCTATTGGGCTGCAATGAAAATTTTGAAATGGGGGGGCATCAAATGGACCCATTATGCGACCTAGGTCAATTTCTTTGTTCAGTTTAGCTAACAATTCATCTTTATGCTCTAATGCTGAAACCATATTTTTACAAGATACTGGATCCCGCGGACCCTCATAGTTCAATGAGAAACCAAATGTAAACCCATGTAAAAGTTGATTTGCCTCAGTTTTTTCTGGATAATCTTGTAACAAAATGTTTAAAGTGGTAACATTGATCGGTGTAAAACCTAGATCCCAAAGGCATGGATCTTTATTGCCGAAATGGCCTTGAAAATCTTGATTGGGTCACATTGGGATTGATGTTTTGACGACCGACATTGTGAGTAGCCCCTTTTGATGTACTATGGCTGGTTTGATTACTGTAACAGTTGATGGAGGGATGGTTTTTGCCGCAGTTAAGACAAGAGTGTGAAAATCTACAATCTTTTTTAAGACATGAACCCTTCAAGTTGAAATCATAACAACGCTTGTGCTGGTGCAAATTAGAAGTAGGCTTGCGTTCAGCGACTGCTGCCTGACCCATGTAAATCAACCATAATTCTGCATCAATGTTTTCCCAACTGATCATACTATTTTTTGAGCGCCTAAGTCTAAACTGAATGTCATAATCCCTCCACCCTAGTGTAGTAGACCGAGAAGCCCCTAGCCTTATTGAACTGATATACTTTATTATGCCCTGAATGTGCTGTGGAAACTTTTTTAAGTAGATGGCAGCATAAATCAAAAAGGAATCAGTCCATTCCGAAATGTTTGCAATTTTTCTATCCTTAGATTTATTTTTTATTTTAATTTCTCCATCTTCAAACACAAGCAGTTGCTGAATTTCAGCAGCTGGATCTAAATGCAATAACCTAGCAAGATCTATATACTCATTATTCCAAATTTTTTCCTGTGTTGTCAATGGTATATTAGCCCCAAGATCTGATGTAATACTGACTAGGGGATTAACATGCATACCTGGCTGATACACAACATTTTTTGTTGCTGTAGTCATAGAGGTGTCTTGAAGCAGAGGCTGCACATCTGGAATATTTTGAGATGCGGCAACACTAAAGGTCTGTTGCAGCTGAGGCTGGTCACCTGTGATGTTCACTGGCAGTGTGGCATTCACGGGACTGACCTCGGATGTGTCTTGTAGGCCACAGGTAGGAGCATAAATCACTTGGCTACCACTTCCCGCATGCTGTATTTGTGAGGACTCTTGTGTTGGTTGCACCGGGCGCGCCGAGGGGCCGGAAGCACGTGCAGGGCGTCTGGCATAAGGCGATTTTGTCTTGGATCTCCTTGTAGATCCCATTCTCAACAATCCAGTGCTCATTTTCTTGCAAATAATGAATAAAACCGTCAAAGATTTTCTTACTCCCAATTATTAATATTCCAACATGTGTTCTATTTAATCAAGCAATGAAAATAAAATTCTGTTGTTTTACATTACTATTTTCTAACAAATAAGTCAATAAATTTTAAACAAATTCCTTAAATATGAATTAATATGTTCGTCTTATGCGATTTTCATACTTGAATTTCTTCGATTGATACAATACTTAACCGATGATACTTGATTTATTTTTGAACACCGATGATTTCGTCTGCTCTGAACAAGATGGGGAGTTGAAAAGACCTAGCGCATGCTCATTAATGCTGATGTTTTATTAACCATAGAATCGTCATGATAGGACCATATAATTCCGGAAAACGGGTTGCTCTTTGTAAGCAATACGTAATTTCAAAATAGAAAGCAATAAGCGTCATTCTCAATAACTGTATTTATCTTTTAGGGATAAATCTGATTATGTATAAAATGCAATACTGTGTTTAATGTCAGTTCATTAGTCACCTAGTCATACAGGTTCTTTTAAGTGCCAAGTATGCATCTGGGATATATTGTGAATTGTGTGTACATGCATACTGTTCAGTAATGTTTGTTGTATCCATGCTTGATATCTTTGTAATTCTGTTTTTGTATTTGTTACAGCCTTTTATACGCACGCTTTTTAATAAACTGTTCTACCCGATACCTAGTGTTTTTCTAGGACTTTTTGGATTGTGTGTGACCAGGGTTTTATTGGCTGTGTCTGGGCAGGTACACTAACATTGCAATTGGCCTACATTTTTGTTGTTTCTTTCATATTAATTAAGGAAATGTATAAAGTTTTTCTTATTTTATTTAAAAAAAACTGTACAATGTAGGCTTAAACATATACTGACAGAAACACTGATCAAAACGTGAAAAGAGACTATTTTGTTCCTCACACAAATAATCAAAAGAAAAAAAAAATATTATGATGAAGCTCCATCCTATTGAAATTTAGGTAAAAAAAATAAATAAATAAAACTTACCCTGACCTAACCCAAAAGCAAATGACTGCTCCCATAACTGACATTATTATTTTTCTTTTAAGTTGTAAACATAAAATCACTAGTAGTTTTTATTTCTTAGATAATTTGCGTATGATCACTGAACGTCACATAATTTGAATGTTGTATTACAATCTAGCTATTTTCAATAGATATTTCACATAAAAATAATTAAATTGCACAAAACTGGCAATCAGTTCGACATGCAAAAATTTGTATATTTCAGTGTAATTAAATAAATTATCATGATGCAAATAATTGTAACACCTGCCTAAAATCGTAAATTGCAAATTCTACAATGCACGTCATGATAACTATTACATGTACGCCCATTTATTATTTATAATCAATAATAATCTTGGTGCAAAATTAAAATAATGTGATCAGATCGACTGACAAGATTATAATTTGGAAGCGTAAAGAAATAATGTGTCCACATTGACTGACAAGATTATAATTGTTGAGTGAGAATAACTATCATAATTTTAGGGCAAAATAAAAATAATGTGTACACATGGACAGAGAAGATTGTTGCAGGAAAATAATAATGTTTTTAAAAAGCAAGATTTCTATTCTGGGACGAGATAACTATTTTTGGTATAATTATACAGTACCAACCAGACCCAACCTGACACAAAGCAGTCCCAGAGCAGTCCCGGGGACTGCTTTTTGGGACTGCTCTGGGACTGCTAAAGCAGTCCCAGAGCAGTACCACAGCGGTCCCAGAGCAGTACCAGCGGTCCCAGAAAGCAGTCCCAGCAGTCCCAGAAAGCAGTCCCAGTGGGCGGGGTTAATTAATTTAATGGGCGGAGCTTACTCAGAAATGAGATTACCAATAAACAATGTAACTATAAAATGCAGTTGAAATTGATGATCCATTTCTTTCTGAGCAGTATCAATTCTCATGCGACAGTCATTTTTTAACTGTTAAGAAAATCACACTACGCGTATAGAAACAAATAATAAATATTGAACAAAGAAGACGTTCACACCTATAAATAACATGAATATTTAAACACAGTTTTGTGGTATATTAATTTTTCACCAAAATTAATCAATTTCTAAATTACTGTGATTGATATTGGTTTCCATATTTATTTATTTTTAATTTTTTTTTATAGCTAATTAAGCTTGAGTTATTTATTTTCTATCAAAACTAGCTTTAAATAGGCCTTATAATTATAGAGCAAGGCCGATATCCATACTATACTCTGAATGCAGTTTTCTTAAGTACTAAAGCTTTTAAAAAATTCTTTGTGTATTATATTTCAGTCATGATTATTTTCACTGACTTGCCAATTTAATTATCGTTAAATTATCTATGAAACAAAAAACAATAATACTTTTATTATATAAACGTTTGAGTGTACATGTACATCTGTAAATCACGCGAATGGAACCCTCAGATTATGTTCAAAATTAATTAATCCCGAAATAAATTTATACACATTTATTGAAACAAAGATTTTTTGTAGTACATAGATTGAAATTAGTGTCATTGTTGACCAGCATGTTCAGTGATGTGTAACACTGATACCCAAATAACATGCATTGACTTTCTGCTAATCATGCCCGAAGGCGATTGAAACTTCAGGTGTTGACACCATTTTATACATTTGTATTGCTTTTTATTAATCGGTCAGGAAAACACAAACAAAACAAGTAAGAAATAAGTCACAATTCCCAATATTTTAAAATGTTTATAAATTTACTCTTTTAATCACTTGTTTATAAATCAAAAACAAATTCATAAATAAATCCCCCAATAATTGTTCACAAATATAATTTTTTAAATGACTGAAGAATGGTAGAATAATTTTATTTCATGGTCATTTAATAAATTATTAAGTTTTATTTGAGGGCGGTAAAAAATAGCATGGAATGCTCTTTTTAGCATGCATATGGTTTTAGCTTTAATTTCAATTTTTAAAAAAAAATCCAGTACAGTACGTCCCTCTGAATGTCTTATTGTAATGACAAGTTTGTTTGTTTGTTTTTTTTTTTTTTTGCTTGTGTGTTTGTTTTTAAATAGTGCTAATGCAAACTTTGAGTACATTCCGTAATATTGACAGCATTAATTAATTAAATAGGCCTCGATATTTTTTTTCAAACACCTGTATTAAAGTTTAAATTAGCATTAATTAATTAAATAGGCCTAGATATATTTTTTTTCAAACATCTGTATAAAAAGTTTAATTTAAAGGTTAAAAGTCATCTCCTGACTTCCCTTTTAACTACTTTCATTTTTTAAAATTAATTCTAGACTACAATTGTGTAAATTTACAGCCCCTGAAGACATTTAGTAATTACATGTATATCTATCTCTACTTATTAAATTGTTGTAAAAAATCCTTGATTTTTTTTTTATTCTTTATCTTAAACACCTCTCTGCTGAAAGTAAACAAAACAACAACAGAGAGCCTGCAAATTCAGAATACACAAGGGGCGGAGCTATCATGTCACTCAGAACCTTTTTCATGCATGAGTGAACAAAGCAGTCCCAGAAAGCAGTCCCAGGGACTGCTGGGTCTGCTTTCTAGAGCAGTCCCACAGCAGTCCCAGAGCAGTCCCACAGCGGTCCCAGAGCAGTCCCACAGCAGTCCCAGAGCGGTCCCAAAGCAGTCCCGGGGACTGCTTTCTGGGACTGCTTAGGTGTCAGGTTGGGTCTGGTTGGTACTGTATAGGGGAAAATAGTAATAATGTGGGGGTACCCTACGGCTTTCCATATTCCTCAGACTGTTTGCTAATATTGAGAGGAATCACATTGAATAGATTGTAAATGTAAAATTGTTCTGTAGCTTTGAAGAAAGGTATACTTCATGTCATTATTTTTTAAATCATGATCAGTACATTTTAGAAGTTTGAAAGACCCATGTAGTGTGTATTTAAACTGGGAAAAGCGTTTTGACTGTATATCTTGTCATATCATGTTAACTCTCACCTCTGCTTAGTTATCTTCCTTTGCTCTGGTGTATATCCCGCGCCGTCTTGACGACGCGCCATGACGACTAAGATGGATCATTTGTACATGTTAGAAACCTCAGCAAATGCCAACATTTTTACCAGAAGTGGTGCCTTACATCTCTTAGACCTTCATCATTACAGTATGGTGGCATATTACTGCCCCCGTCATCTTATATAAATATGATATGTCAAAATGCAACAAAAAAAATACATATCAACATGCAAGTCTATTACATTAACATGAAGGATGATTACGTTGACATGCAATTTACCAATATGTTTACAGAATCCAATTTTAATATAGGTAAATTCACTTACTCAAGCCAGTATCTGACACCATGCATGTAAGACGTAAACGTGCAATTTATCAATGCTGACATGCGAATTTTTTATGTCATGTCAATATACGTGTAGGTTCAAAAGCATGTCTACATAATTATCTTGACATAAATAAGTCGGAATTTATTATCTATTTTTGGCCAAATGTAGAAAAAAATCAAATGTTTTATTAATGTGGAAAGTCTAGTGCAGTTGCTTATATTCCTTATGATTTCCAAAATGTTTGATTTCAGAGAGCTTGGAATCATTCAATTATATAATAAAGAAAATTACTTTTATTAGAGAAATTATCATTTTGTATCATGCTTTTGATTATAATTTACCATTTCCACTGAGTGTTGTTCCTTCGGAGCAACGTCCTTCAAAACTTTTACTTGTAGAACCAACACAAGATATAGGATCAATATTAATAACACTAATTGTTATCTTTAATTCAGATTGTTTTTCTGGGGTTTCTGCAAGATAAAATAGTGACTGAAAGGCGGTACCAGAAAAAAACTAGCTTGACTCGGTTATATCTCAAGTTTTGTTTAGATGGTTTAAAATATCTAACCTAATCGTCTGCATCCATCTTCAAAATAATTATTGCAAACAACAAATTCTGTGTCCAAAGCTCCTCTATGTACCAGACACTCTGTAGGTGGGGGGATTTCTATATAGATGTGACAGATAGGCTGTATTTAGTAAATACACAAACATACATGCTTAGACAATCAGATAACTTCTTCAAAAAAAAAATACCTCTGATAGATTTTGCTGAAAAGTCTCCAATTATGTACTTTTGTCCCGGTATTAAATTCCAGATAAGTGCTTTGATGGATAAAATGCTTTCATTAAGCTGCACAGGTCTAACACAAAACTCACATCCCATCCGAGAAGAAGCACAATCTTATTTTAAAACAACAAACATGTTTTTTTTTTCATTAAAAACCATGCTGCATGTAAATATTTCTATCAGAAAATTATGCTTTAATGTTCAATTGAAAACTAACTTAATTTGTCACTTACCCGAACATGTTTTGTTTTTTTCTACCATTTCTACTTGCAGAGTTACGGTATCTGGTAAAAGTTACATCTTTAGTCATTTGTTAAAGAATAAAAAAAAAATCTTTCTCTAAAGTTTTCTACATTGATTAGATATCCCTATTATATTATTTTTATTTCTACATTAAAAACTACAGTATTGTGCCAGTAGTGTTCGTCCAAAGTCGCGTTGCGTATTGCATTGCGTAGTTTTTGTGTTTAAGCATCTATGACTTTATCTGTGTACTATAAATAAACGAAGGTACTATTGTCGGTGAAAAGGACGCTATTTTAATAATGCCCTCGTGACTATCACGTGACAAATTTACACGTCACAAATTCTCGTCTGCTGTGCATATTGTCAATGTGAACAATATAGCTACTACTCGAAGAGAATAATGATGTCAAAGAAGTAGTTGTTTCTTGGTATCAGACGGGACTGAAACAGCAAGAAATATATCGAAGATTGGGAATACCCCGAACAACAATAACATCTGTAATAGATCGTTTTCGGAAGCGAGGTAGTATAGAAAATATTCCAAGAAAAGGGAAACATTCAAAACTAGATGAAAGAGATGCACGACAACTTTGGAGGACAGTAAAAGAAAACAGAAAACAAAGTTTGTCTGATATTACTGCCTTATTTAACCAACATAGAGAATCTACTGTTTCAAAACGGACTGTGCAGGGAACTTTGTATAGGCAGTATATTTTAGGAGAGTTGTAAGAAAACGAATCAGAATTCGTGAAGTCAATCGTTAAGCTTGGCTTTCTTGGTGCAGAGGAAACCGTTACTAAACTGTCGACAATTACGGGCAGAGAGTAATATTCAGTGATGAATGTTAAGTGGACATTGGATCTGATAGTCACGTATTATTTGGAGAAAGGTCGGCGAGGACTGGCTACCCTGTTGTTTATTGCAACCTCCAACACCTAAGTTCAGTTTTATGGTATGGGGATGTGTAACATTTAATGGTGTAGTCACACTTATACTGTCATAGATGGCAATATACCGTATAAGCAGAAATTTTAGCAAGGATTTAATTTTGGCTAAATTTAGATATAATATATACCGATTTATTCTGGATAAATCGCTAAATTTTCCCTCTAAAATTTTCACTTATACGGTAAATGTACAGAAATATATTGATATCATTGATGAACACTTGTGGCCGGTTATTATGCGTCATTTTCCTCAGAATAATTACATCTTCTAAGACGACGATGTACCCATACATAAAGCCCGTTTAGTGCAAGAATACAAGATACAAAATAACATTCACTCTATGTTTTGGCCATCTCAGAGTCCCAATTTAAACATTACAGAGAACGTTTGGCTCAGAATGAAAAGAAAACTGAAAAATGGCGACATAATTATCACCTCCAAAAATGAACTGGAGACGGCCATTCGACAGGAGTGTAAAAATATCCCGGTTGACTACATTCAGAGTCTTTACAAGCCAATCCCCCGAAGAATACAAAGAGTATTACGATCAAAAGGCTATATAACAAAATATTAAGGTAAGAAAACTCATTGTTTATTTTTTTTCCAAGTTTTCTTTACTTAGCGAATTGCACAATAGCTGCAGCCATTTAGAACTTGGACAATCACTAATAGCACAATTAATACTGTAGTTTGTATATCCACACGTATCGAACAATTCTTTTCTCTGTTTCTACATTTGAATACAGATTACTGACTTGAAACTCTGTAATTCATATCGCTATTCAATCTTTTTTATCCATGTCAATTATATATTTGGCTTTCCCGATCCATGTGTTATTGTTCACTGCATCTGTCACAGTTGAAGCTCGTTTTTCTAAGACTGCACAGATTTCCATTGATTTTATCCATCTGGACCTTATGGAAAATGTTATCTCCAACCATACAACTACAAAGATCATGGAGAGAAACTACACGTATGTTATCAACTTAAGGAGGTTGGATCCTGCCATCAAAAGTAATGAGCATTTTTTATCAAGTATATTTCTAGAATTTATACACATAGCTTTATTAAAAATCAAAACAAAAAATGGGGATCAATGCACTTCTTTTGGCGCTACAGAGCATTTAGTTTGACCTTTTTGCAATGTAAATACGTCTTACACATAAATTAATTTTTAAAGTTTTTCCTCCAATATTTTTTGTTCAAATAAATTATGGGAACAAAAACAGTCTTATTTCGTCTTAAATAGACACATAAAAATTTGTGACAACGAAGAAATTTTCAAATTACTCCGCATGTTCAATTATTTGACCCTTTTGCACTCAAACATTTTCATTTTTCTGGCATTAAAAATTTAACAAGCAAAATAATCATTTAAAAGTAATGACATTTTACTGAATTTAAGAAGAATGGTTAAAAGTATCGTATATATTCACACTGCATGAAAAGTTGCGTTTAATATAATTTAATAAATTTGTTTACTTAATTAAATTTCTTGTTTTGAATTTAATTTATGTATAACGTTACATTATATATAAAATATATTGTGATATAATTTACTACATTTTTCAAATAAGTATAATCAGATTTAATGCAAAAAACATCGAGAATAATATAGTTTAATAGAAGAAATTATACGTTTCGTTTAAGAAAATCGACATGTAAAAGTAAATCCGCTCATATTTTAAGTTTAAGTATGTTTTTGGTATTTTATATATGTGATAAATATTTTTTTTTATTTTATACAGAATAAATATTGTTTACATATTTATTATCGCAAAAAGACAAAAACATTTACATTAAAGCATCCTATATATATCGCTTTTGTTTGGCTTTATATTAACTCTGAAATAATTTAATATTGACAATGTATATTATTAGTAAGAGAGTACTAGATCTAGATTTGTCGAAAAAAAAATGTATTATGAAACTGGATCAAATTGTTCTGTTTACTTTGATGCTGTTTATTCTAAAACCTACGCGATCCCGTTTGGTAGCCAAAATTGTCCAGTTTCAAAGGATCATCTCTCTTTCTCTCTCTCTTTCTCTCTCAGCCTTTACTTAACGCATTGCATAAAATATTAATTCAATCAGATCTTTGAACGTACAAAAATTAATTTGAGAATGACGCAAGACTTACTACTTATTCAAGTATTCTGGCGATAGACCACTGTCATCAAAAATATTGGTAGAACATACTTTAAAAACAGGTGCCCCAACCCTGAAATTTTAACAATTTTATTATGAACCAAATGAATAAAGATATTTGAATTTTTTATATAACGTTTGATTCAGAAGAATATCATGAGAGAGAGAGAGAGAGAGAGATTTAATTCGAAAGAGATTTTACTTTATAATGAGATCGCTGCTGTATTTGCAAATATTAAATTTTGTAAAAATTGGACTGTGCTACACTCTTAATAATCATAGATTGTTATTTACTATTGTATTTATCTATAAATGCTCATATATTTAAAATTCTTATAGACGACTTAAATCTAATTTACTTAACATATCTAATTAAATATTAGGAAAAAAAATCATCAATATGTCATGATCATTTACACCTCAGACTCAGTTTTTTTTTTATAATAGAGTTATCTGCCCTTCCAAAAAATTTAAATCAAAATCTTTTTTTAATTTTCTTTCCTTTTAAAGTTTGAGAAATAATAATAATAAAACTAGATGAGATCTCGTTGCGAGCAACGAGTGGGTCTTCCGTCCGATTTTTGATAAGATGAGATAAGAATTTGACTGAGATTTTCGATCAAATATAATGATATAAATAAATTGTTAAGACGAACAATTTTGCTTTAATACCGTAATGTTTAACAAAATATTGATCATTAAAGGGTTATAGATTAAAGACCTTCGGCCCTTCTTGGCCCCTAATGTGAGAGGTCAGCCCCTTTTTCTTGATATCATCTTAAAGCTCTCATGATTTTGAACACTTTTTGTTCAACAACTATTCAGAAATTCATTTTTGTTTTGAGGATATATGCAAAAGAAATATTAAGGGCCGGCCCTTCAAGTCCTAAATGGAGATGTCTAGCAAAAATTGAAAGAATGCATATTGTTCAGAATTTTATTTTGAACGTCTTTTGTTCAATACTGTTTATCAAAATATTCTTCCTTTTCGAGATATATTGCGCCAAAGATTATGCAATCTGGCCCCCTAAAGACCCCTTATTGCGTAACATATGATATCAACATCATGTTATTTAGAAAAGGTGTATGAAGATGAACTATTTCGCTTCAGTAATATATTACAAAATATTGATCATTAAAGAGTTATTGATTGTTTACTTTTGGCCCCTCTCGGCCCTTTATTTAAAGGGTCAGACCCTTTTCAATGATATATCACCTTAAAGCTCTCATGATTTTGAACACTTTTTGTTCAACAACTATTCAAAAATTCTTTTTCGTTTCCAAAATATATGCAAAGGATATATTTAGGGGCCGGTCCTTCAACTCCTTAATGGGGACGTTAAGCAAAAAATGAAAGGTTGCATATTGTTTAGAACATTATTTTGAACATCTTTTGTTCAGTATTGCTTATCAAAATATTTCATAGTTTTAAGATATAAAGCGTCAAAGATTTGGCATTCTGGCCCCTTATGGCCCCTAATTATGTAACATATGATGTGAATATCATAATATATCTAGTTGTAAATTGTTGAGATAAACATTTTTGCTTCAGTAATGCATTACAAAATATTGATCGTTAAAGAGTAATTGTTCAAAGACTTTCGGTCCCTCTCAGCCCCTATTTTGAGGGTCCAGCCCCTTTTTCTTCATATCACTTTAAAGCTCTCATAATTTTGAACACTTTTTATTCAACAACTAGTCAGAAATTCTTTTTCGTTTCTGAGATATTTTCAAAGGAAGTATTTAGGGGCCAGTCCTTCAACTCCTTTATGGGGACGTTTAACAAAAAATGAAAGGTTGCATATTGTTTATAACATTATTTTGAACATCTTTCGTTCAATATTGCTTATCAAAATATTTCATACTTTTAAGATATAAAGCGTCAAAGATTTAGCATTCTGGCCCCTTATGGCCCCTAATTATGTAACATTTGATGTGAATATCATAATTTATAGTTGTAAAGTGTTGAGATAAATATTTTGCTTCAGTAATGCATTACAAAATATTGATCGTTAAAGAGTAATTGATCAAAGACTTTTGGCCCCTCTCAGCCCCTATTTTGAGGGTCCAGCCCCTTTTTCTTCACATCATTTTAAAACTCTCATGATTTTGAACATTTTTTGTTCAATAATTAGTCAGAAATTCTTTTTCGTTTCTGAGATATTTGCAAAAGAAGAACTTAGGGGCCGGTCCTTCAACTCCTTAATGGGGACGTTTAGCAAAAAATGAAAGGTTGCATATTGTTTAGAACATTATTTTGAACATCTTTTGTTCAATATTGCTTATCAAAATATTTCATAGTTTTAAGATATAAAGCGTCAAAGATTTGGCATTCTGGCCCCTTATGGCCCCTAATTATGTAACATTTGATGTAAATATCATAATATATAGTTGTAAAGTGTGGAGATAAACATTTTTGCTTCAGTAATGCATTACAAAATATTGATCGTTAAAGAGTAATTGATCAAAGACTTTCGGCCCCTCTCAGCCCCTATTTTGAGGGTCCAGCCCCTTTTTTATCACATCATTTTAAAGCTCACATGATTTTGAACACTTTTTGTTCAATAATTAGTCAGAAATTCTTTTTCGTTTCTGAGATATTTGCAAAAGAAGTATTTAGGGGCCGATCCTTCAACTCCTTAATGGGGACGTTTAGCAAAAAATGAAAGGTTGCATATTGTTTAGAACATTATTGTGAACATCTTTTGTTCAATATTGCTTATCAAAATATTTCATAGTTTTAAGATATAAAGCGTCAAAGATTTGGCATTCTGGCCCCTTATGGCCCCTAATTATGTAACATATGACATAAATATTATAATAAATAGTTGTAAATTGTTAAGATAAACATTTTTGCTTCAGTAATGTATACCAAAATATTGATCGTTAAAGAGTTATTGATTTAATACTTTTGGCCCCTCTCGGCCCCTAATATGATGAGTCAGCCCTTTTTTCTTGATATCATATTAAAGATCTTGTCATTCTGCACAAATATTGTTCAGTACGTCTTAACAAAATAATTATACTTTAAAAGATATGATACAAAATGTCTCAAAAATTCACTCATGTTTCGTGTCCTAAATTTTGACCCCTACCGAGCTTTCATACTAGGCACTTCCGGAAAATATCCAAACCCAGGTGCAAAATGGCAACATGTCCTCTATCATCACTGAAAATTTCAGCGCTCTGGCTTAAGCCGTTTTTGAGTTCCATCGCAGACAAGGAGGTCCTCTAAATTTTGATAAAAGGGCGATAACTTCCGACCGGAAGTTAATATCCCTTAACGGAATTGCCGGAATTAACTTCAGATGTCAACGCATCTACCATGAAAATTTGAATGAAATTGAACAAGCCATCTCCGAGAAATCGTCTGCACAAAATTTGTAAGAAGAAAAAAGAATAAAAATAATAACTAGATGAGATCTCGTTGCGAGCAACGAGTGGGTCTTCCGTCCGATTTTTGGTAAGATGAGAAAAGAATTTGATTGAGATTTTCATTCAAATATAATGATATAAATAATTTCTTACGAAAAACAATTTCCCCTCAGTAATGTGTAACAAAATATTGATCAAAAAGAGTTATAGATTAAAGACTTTCAGCCCCTCTCGATCCGTATTTTGAGGGACAGCCCCTTTTTCTTGATATCACCTTAAAGCTCTCATGATTTTGAACAATTTTCGTTCAACAACTGTTCAGAAATTCTTTTTCGTTTCGGAGTTATTTGCAAAAGAAATATTTAGGGTCGTCCCTTCAATTCCCTAACGGGGACGTTTAGCAAAAATTGAAAGGTTGCACATTGTTAAGAACATTATTTTAAACATCTTTTCAATATTGCTTATCAAAATATTTCCCACTTTCGAGATATAAAGAATCAAAGATTTAGCATTCTGGCCCCTTATGGCCCCTAATTACGAAACAAATGAAGTAAATATCATAATATATAGATGTGAATTATGAAGATAAACATTTTTGCTTCAGTATTGTATTACAAAATATTGATCGTTGAAGAGTTATAGATTAAAGACTTTCGGCCCCTTTCGGTCCATAGTTTGAGGGGCCAGCCCCTTTTCCTTGATATCACCTTAAAGCTCTCATGATTTTAAACACTTTTTGTTCAACAACTATTCAGAAATTCTTTTCCATTTCCGAGATACTGCAAAAGAAATATTTAGTGGCCAGCCCTTCAACTCCTTAAGGGAGACGTTTTTGAAAAATTGAAAGGTTGCATCTTGTATAAAACATTATTTTGGACAACTTTTGTTCAATATTGGTTATCAAAATATTTCCCACTTTTGAGATATAAAGCGTCAAAGATTTAGCATTCTGGCCCCTTATGGCCCCTAATTATGTAACATATGATGTAAATATCAAAATATATAGTTATAAATTGTTGAGATAAACATTTTTGCTTCAGTAATGCATTACAAAATATTGATCATTAAAGAATTATTGTTCAAAGACTTTCGGCCCCTCTCAGCCCCTATTTTGAGGGTCCAGCCCCTTTTTCTTCATATCACTTTAAAGCTCTCATGATTTTGAACAATTTTTGTTCACCAACTAGTCAGAAATTCTTTTTCGTTTCTGAGATATTTGCAAAAGAAGTATTTAGGGGCCGGCCCTTCAACTCCTTAATGGGGATGTTTAGCAAAAAATGAAAGGTTGCATCTTGTATAAAACATTATTTTGGACAACTTTTGTTCAATATTGGTTATCAAAATATTTCCCACTTTTGAGATATAAAGCGTCAAAGATTTAGCATTCTGGCCCCTTATGGCCCCTAATTATGTAACATATGATGTAAATATCAAAATATATAGTTATAAATTGTTGAGATAAACATTTTTGCTTCAGTAATGCATTACAAAATATTGATCGTTAAAGAGTTATTGTTCAAAGACTTTCGGCCCCTCTCAGCCCCTATTTTGAGGGTCCAGCTCCTTTTTCTTCATATCACTTTAAGGCTCTCATGATTTTGAACAATTTTTGTTCACCAACTAGTCAGAAATTCTTTTTCGTTTCTGAGATATTTGCAAAAGAAGTGTTTAGGGGCCGGCCCTTCAACTCCTTAATGGGGACTTCTAGCAAAAAACGAAAGGTTGCATATTGTTTAGAACATTATTTTGAACATCTTTTGTTCAGTATTTCTTATCAAAATATTTCCCACTTTTGAGATATAAAGCGTCAAAGATTTAGCATTCTGGCCCCTTATGGCCCCTAATTATGTAACATATGATGTGAATATCATAATATATAGTTGTAAATTGCTGGGATAAACATTTTTGCTTCAGTAATGGATTACAAAATATTGATTGTTAAAGAGTTATTAATTAAAGACCTTCGGCCCCTCTTGGCCCCTAATGTGATGAGTCAGCCCTTTTTCCTTGATATCATATAAAAGATCTTGTAATTCTACACAATTTCTGTTCAATATGTTTTAACAAAATACTCAGAGTTAAAAAGATATCGTAAGAAATGTCTCTAAAATTCACTCATGATTTGTTTCCTAAATTTCGACCCCTACCGAGCTTCCATACTAGGCACTTCCGGAAAATTTGAAAACCCAGGTGATCAATGGCAACATGTCCTCTATCATCGCTGAAAATTTCAGCACTCTAGCTTTAATCGTTTTTGAGTTCCACTGCAGACAAGGAGGTCCTCTGAATTTTGATTAAAGGGCGATAACTTCCTACCGGAAGTGAAATTCAAAAAAATGAGAAAAACGTATAAGGTTCAGACAAAGATACATCTTCTCTGAAATTTTCAAGTAAATCGATCGAGCCAACTCCGAGAAATCTTCTGCACAAAAATTGTAAAGAAAAAAAAATAATAATAATAATAATAAAAGTGAAAAAGAAACAATAGAATAATAGAAGGGTCTTCCGTTGGAGACGGAAGACCCTAATAATAAAAGTGAAAAAGAAACCGAAGAATAATAGAAGGGTCTTCCGCTGAAGACGGAAGACCCTAAAAAATCAAATAGGCCTATCTAATATAAAATGATTTTTCCCTCTACGCGCACGCTATACATAATTATAAATTAGCCAATCAAAATCAGGCAGTAGCATCGCGAATATTCCGAGCCCGCCAAACAGCACCAAACATGTCGGACAGGCCAAGTATCGGAAATTAGTGAGGAGGATGGATCCTTATCATGCTCATGGAATAGTTTCGATTCACCAGAACCATCGGATTCATACATCGATGAAATTATTGGGGAAAATGCAAGACATTTGAGAAAGGGAAGAAAAGGGCACCTCAACATGCTCAAGGTCAAGCAGGTAAACATACTGTTTAAGAAAAAAAAGATGGCGAAAAAGTCATTATTTACATGTACATCAACACTAGCTGCAAAATCTAGCTCGCTGGTCTGAAACAATTGGGATGGACGACCAGTCTCCGGTCTGTCAATATATATTTTTTCGGAGAGCTACAGTTCTGCAGCTACATCAACACTAAAAAATGTGCAACATGACCATGATGACCTTCAATATCTATAGATGACTCGTATATGTATGAACGTCATACTATGTTATATCCAACGTAGCATATTGGGGCAATTTGAGACGAAAAATAAAATATTTTTAGCCGTATAACTATTCAATATGGTATGTCATAATAATCCTTTGGCTAAAACCTTCATAAAAATGACTGACATGTAAAAATGAGCATAATATGTCCGACGGTGAAACCGTTAGGGCGAGCGCAGTTCATTTTCTAAAACTCAACACATCTCAAATGTCGTTTTACATTGCTTATTACACTTTTATCGTGCGTTTACTGAGTATCGTACATAATTTTTTCGGTAAACCGTTATTGACGTACATATTCTCTAACGTTGCAGACTCCCAATGCATTGGGATCGAAATTCCTAACTTCTCGGATATTTCCGACAAAATTGGAAATACACGAGTCGTTGAAGTGACAAAAATATGACGTCACATACAAAGTCGTGTTTACCAGGGATGCAAGCGATAGTTTTGTGGGTAATTACGGCACATGGAAATTGAATTACTTCGTTATTTATTAATTTTATCAAGTAAGTTGTTGCTATGCTTATGCCACCATGTTGCTATGCACCGCAAAGGATTATTGGAGTATGGAATATTTTCACATGGGACGATAAAAATTTCTTTGAACAATGTGCAGATTTCAACCCGAATTTCCTCCGTTCGTACACGTTGTCTATGGAGCTCGCTACGTGAGCGGCGCTTTGCGCCGCCTCGCTGCGCTCGCTATTAACGCACATTTGGAGGAAAAGCGCATGGAATAGTGCATAAACACTCACTGATAAAGGAAAAAGTATTCGCTGATTTCACACAAAATATGATAGATACAATAGATCAAGTGTAATTGTTATTTAATATTTTTTTATCGCATTCTTGAACTTGACTGTACTAATTTCTCGGCATTTGATATTTTGTAGTTTTTCTGCATGTAGAAAATGACATCACAATCGCATTTGTTTACTAACAGCTCACAGTTTCCCGAAAGTGAAGGAGTAAGGGGGTTTTATAGAGATACACAAATGTACTGTATTACTCAAATAGAATTAATGTGCAAAAGTTTTATTTCATTATTTCTATAGCTGAAATTAAAAGAATGCTAGAATTCATTACCAAACAAAACATTTTTTATAGGCCAAATAATTATACCCTGGCTAGGTCCCTTCAGAATGAGAGGGCAGTATAATACCGTTTTTGTCTGTCTGTCTGTGCATGCATGTTTTTGTCCATAACAAATTTCCGTCACAGTTCTCAGCAACTGCTAATTGCAGATGCTTGAAATTCTAATTCCTATATACAGCAAAACTCAAATTTAACAAACATAGATACAGATAGCGAACTTTTATTCATGTCCAGCAAAGTCCTTATATAAACCTATAGAAAATCGCTGTATGTAACGAACATGGCTATATATAACAAATTTATGGCTATAACGAAGTAATTTTAAGATATTTTAATGCCTTTTTTTTCATTTAAGTATAACAAATATTTTTCATTACAAATTTCATTAAATATACATAAGGTCTTAAGATCATGATGAGGAGTTCGATGAAGATGCAGATGACACTACATTAGCATTGTTAACTCAGAAATTTAATGGATCCTTTAATGATATTGTTCATGTTGACAATAAATTTGAGTTGTGGACACCCGAGTCATCAATAAATACTCCATATGTTTGTGAGTCACAATGTATGTAAATCATATATATTTGCCACAATTAAAAAAAATAGTTCTGGAAATAAAATCTTTATTTCATCGGTTCAATTTTTAATTTGTTACAGATGTATCTGGTAGCATGGATATGATTATGAAGCTAAAGGATGAATATATATGGCAGGTTTCATTATTTTCTGACATTTCAAATGCATTGGTTAGATAATATTTAAATGTTCAAATCTAAATATTATACACTAAATTCTTTAATTGTGCATCTAAGGAAGTGAAAAGGTTGTATTGACAACTGAGGGTGATATCGATTATATAACATACAATAGTTTGAAGTACTGTTAGCTGACTGTTTTATAACAAATTCGGTATAGGATTTCTTATGAATTCACTATATTAAACATATAATGAATTAAGATTATAGCGAAGATCTTTCTTTGGTCCCTTGAAATTTGCTATGAAGGAGTTTTGCAGAATTGCTGTAATTGCAACATATGTATTATTAGTTACATAGTTTTGTAGTGACAGGGTACGGGATGATACCTGGTTAGTAAATTTCATACCTGGCGAGGCGAAGCCGAGCCAGGTATGAAATTTACTAACCAGGTATCATCCCGTACCCTGTCACTACAAAACTATGTAACGAATTTACCCCACCGATAAAACATTTATATATTGTCTATGGTTTGTAAAATTGTTATCCTCACTATATATATGTTTCATCATCACTCATGCAATGCCTATTATGACGTCATGTTGTGTTACGTAATGTTGTTTTGCGAGTGTTAACGTACTGACAGTTTTGAAGACTTTCAGTAAAGGGAGAAAAAGGTTCAATCTCGTTACTTACATTAGTTAACTGTTAAATTGTCAAAAGACACTCGGCAAACCTCTTGAACTCGAGTTGTTCGAACGTTACAAAAGAACGATAACTCCGTATCGACCATGTATTGAATTCAAGCGACTAGGTATAAGTAATACACCCCCTTCACGTGACAGACTTCAACCAATCGTAAGCCAGGATTTCATCGAAAAATCAACAGAGGTGGGGTAAATATGTTATTCCCATATACATTGTAATAATGTATACTGTATACAAGTATCGTAACTAACTCTGGAATACATTACTGGGATTCATTTTTGTTTAAATGTTATGTCAACTTCTTGTCAAATGATCATGATGATAGCACAGTTATTTTTAACTGACTTGTGTATTCACATCAAAAGGGGGGGTTGGGGGGTTGGTTGGTTATATCACTATTGAGCATTCATGATTGGCTCACAGATTTCTTGTTTTGTTAAAGCTACAATTATAATAAAGCAACATGTATTATGATAAAGCTAAATGATGTACTATCATTGTGTCTAGCTTCAAATGATTTCATTTAAAGGCATAATCAGGATGTTTTATTTGTAATTGATATGTTAATCTGTGAATGTATACTTTCAGACTGCTGCGCATGATGGATATCCCCATGACAATTCACAAAAGCTTGAATGGAAACTGAAATCTGATGGTGGAAACCAAACGTTGAAGTAAGAAAAAAATTAATAACGTACTTTTAAGCTCACAAGAGCTGAAAGCTTAAGCGAGTTTTCCTGATCACATTTTGTCGTCTTCCATCTGTCTTTCTATCTAATCATAAAAAAAAACTAGTAACATTTTCAAGGGGAGATGATTTAAATTTAATGAAAATGTCTTTCTATCTAACCATAAAAAAAACTAGTAACATTTTCAAGGGGAGATGATTCAAATTTAATGAAAATGTATTGGCAATTTAAAAGAAAATCTTGAACCATTTATCCAGAAAAATTGAAACTTATGTTGAAGCATCCTCAATTAAAGTAGCTTTTAGTTTGTTCAAATCATCGTACCTTATTGTTTTCCATGATATGTGATTAAATATCTGTACATGTGTGTCAGACATAGTTGAACAGGATATCAGATGACCAAACTCTACTTGGCACCTTAAATATTGTGTATTGATATGAATACATATCATATGAAAATTGTACTATGACATGCTGATCACCCGAAAGTAGGGTGGGGCTACACTAAATCATATATTCTTGTTCCTTGCAATTGTCAGATCTTAAAAACACTACTTGTGTGGCATTTCAAGTGTTATAAAGATCTAGACATATGACCCCATGAGGTGCTCCTGACCCCCCCCCCCACCCTTTTTTTTGTTTTGGTCAAAGTTATGGCCATGGTTGCTCAGGTGAGTGATGTGGCCTTTGGATCCTTTGTTGGTTTGAAGTATTTATTAAATTTTTACTGAAAGACAAGAGAAAATAAACAATCTACCAACAATTAAGCTATGATAGAGGTAGCCATCTAGTGGATAAGAAATGTTGATATAGAACATGCATATACCATTACTTGGTAATTTATTTTTGGATCACATTCAATTTCAAATGCTGGAATGATTATGTTAAAGGTAAAAGTATTAGTTTATGGATTATGTAGAATATTTTCTGTGGAATAAAATTTATAATACTGTTCTTTAAATGGAATTCAGGTAATTTGATATGATGAGATCATGTGTTGCAGACCTTCATCAGATGGAAACAAAGAAATGACTGAACATGTATGCCAGTACGTCGTAGGCATCTATCTAGCTTGCTGAGCATTTGTTAAAGGTCAGTATAAAGCATATCTTTAATCTAGAATAAAAAATGTAAAGTTTATGTAATAATATTTAAATGTATGTTAAACATACTTTATTATTATATAGTCTATTTAAAGTCCTTACATAATCTATACAAGCGCAAACAGTTCATAACACTACATAATCACCGGATTTGAGGCCTTATTTACCGGAGGGTCAGTGCGCATGCAGCGGCATTGTGACATCACAATCAACACCTCAAACAACATTGTAAATAATGGTTGCAACGGCCGCAGCCAGCTGTGTATCTGAGCAGGAAAAATTTTTATACATTAAACCTATCACAGGATTATATGGACATATTCCACATAGCGTAACTTGGAAAGGAAAACACGGAAGTTACAAATTGTAATCTGAACATTTTTTTCCTATTTTCAATGACAGAAGTTCTTAAATGAAAATGGTGTCGTCATGCAGCCTTCAATATCTCATTTATTCAAATCTGGACTATATAACAAAACAATAATTATGGACTCTTATGGTGTTGAATATACATGTAGTTTTTTAATCACCAGAAAATATCAATATTGACCTCGGCTTCGTCTCGGTCAATATTGATATTTTTCTGGTGAGTGGTGAATAACAAACCACATTCAACACCAAAAGAGTCCATAATTGTATAATATTTAATACATCTGGTGAATGATGGTATCATTTATATAAAAATACTTTAATTTAATCATGTAATTTTTTATTTGATTTGCAAGTCAAAAATTCAAACATTGCTCATATGATGATAGTGGAAGAAAAGAATTGTTAACTTCTGAAAGAGATCAACCAAGTGCAAAATTCAAAAAGACTTAGACACAGAGCTCAAAATTTTTTATAATTATATTTTTTCATTGTTAATGTCTAGAATTAAATAAATGCAAATGTTAATTTGCTCACAGTCAATAAAGGGTATATGTTACTCTAGCTGTGGGTTTACTTTACAACCTTGGATATTTGATATATGTGTGATTGTAATCTCAAGTTTTGAAAAAGAATCTTGATAATCATTTATTAAATAATGTATCTTACTAAAGATTTCAGACATTCTTAACTTTTGCTAATTTTTGCTGCAATGTCATATTTTCGGTGCAATACACATATACTTTCAATCCATACAAGACGAAGAAACGCCGATTGGAAAAGCTGATTCCATTAAAGCAAAGAATGGTGATGTACCAAAGAAAGTGGCGTTCTGATGAATGTTAAAAAGTATTCAAAGAACTAGACACCAAAAGTGCCACTCGCAAATCAAAGCTGTATAAAAGGCAGAGCATCAGAAGAATTAGGATAAATAAGGAATCCAAAAGAGACAAACCTGATGATGTAGTGATTGAACAGAAATGGGCTATTAGAGATCAAATATCTGAGTTGCTACTGTTTTGCGTAATTGTGTTGCTTTTTTTACTTAACTTGAATTGACACATTCAAATGTTATATAAGAAAAATATACCTAGTGTTGTATTTTTGACAGTTAAAGTGTTTTCTGATGCTTGATTACAGATTAAAACTCGGTCATATTTTTTATTGTTTGAAGATCGATTCGCTTATTTTGTATAGTACACATGCACATACATTTTTAATCTTGATTTATAAATTACATTTATGTACAAGTTTGACTTAAATAATTAGTGTATGGACAATTATTGTGAAAAGAAGTAGGAGACAATGCAAGGGTAGTCTGAAAGAGTTTTGCTGGCAGTAAGTTGCAGATCTTGATACCCAAGTAAGAGAAAGGTGGTGTCTAAGATCGATCCTTTTGCTGTTGCTTGTGGGCGAGTGAGGCTTCTCTGTCAGTGGCTTAGTTTGTCTTAGATGTAAAAAATAGACTAAACAGACCAGATAAAGAGTTTTCTGAGTAAATAGGGTAAATAGTGATTTTAATGTATATTATATTGCAAGAGTAAGAAATTAATTTGTTTCCTTTCATTTGAAGTAAAGAGTTTAAGACCAGAATTTTTTGCATTAAGTTTAAAGAGTAAGGCTAAAAAATTTTGTAACATGTACTTGTACATATGTTTATACAGGCCTTTTTATATGTACGTTTCGGAGCTTATTCTTCAAATTTTACGGCAAAGACTAGAAGATTATTTACTGAAAATATCATTATCAAAATGTCTTACGTTCCAATGTAAAATTGATTTGATGAGGATATGCTATGTTTCAATCCACAAGTGATAAACCTGATGATGTAGCGATTGAACAGAAATGGGCTATTAGAGATAAATTATCAGCTGTTACTTGTTTTGTGTAATTGTGATGCTTTTTCCTTAATTTGAATTCACATAACCATGATATAAAAGAAGTTTTCTTGATGGTGTATTTTTCACAGTCAACATAAAATGTTTACTGTACTCAGTTAATGATTAAAAAGCTGTCGTATTTTTTATTGTATGCAGATCAACTGGCTTATTGTGTGGCACACATGCCAAACATTCTTAATCTCCGACTTATTTCCATGTTTTTACAAGTTTAACTTGAATAATTAGTGCATGGATATTTATTGTGACAATAATTAGGAGACAATGCAAGGGTAGTCTGAAAGAGTTTTGCTGGCAGTAAGTTGCAGATCTTGATACCCAAGTAAGAGAAAGGTGGCGTCTCTGACCGATCCTTTTGCTGTTGCTTGTGGGCGAGTGAGGCTTCTCTGTCAGAACTAGACTAAGAAGACATTTATGCATAAAATATATTGTAATAAGAAGAAAAGGCAACTTAACTATTAATAAAAATAAAGAGTTAAAGAACGTTTATCATGTGTACATGAATATACTAATGCATGATATTATTTGTACATGAATATTCCAGATATATTGTTTCTGAACATATATTAGGCATAGACTAGCTAGAAGAAAATGCTTTGAGTGTAAAGGTCAATTGTATGTCTCAATTTCAAATTAGCCTAAAATTGTTTTAATGAGATATATGTAGTTTCACAGTATTCATATTCCTGTCTACCTGCTTGTGCTTATTGAGATTCTTAAAATTGAAACGACAAAAGATGTTTAATGTTATAAGTGTACCATTCCCCTAGATCTTGATATACATGTAGAATCATTGGCTCTTTGTCTTGCAATGTTTGTGCTAATTTATATAAATGAATGCCCTTGTATTCCAGTATGTTCACTAATTTGTGTGGTCATAATGTACATGTACTTTCTCTTCTGTCCAAAACTTTTTAAGGATGGAAAATAGGAAATTATCATGGAAAAAGATCTTAAAATCTTTTGTGAATGATTTCAAAATTATCACTTTCAACAATATTTTTCAAATTGCATGCTAAAAAGTATAATGACTCTGTGCTTTAAGTTATCCACATTCATTTTTTGAGAAATTTGCCTATAGCACATGTAGAATTTTTTCAAAAAGGCCTTGTATTTCATGCTGTATATGAAAGACACATAATGAGATGAATAAACTTTTTTTTAAATTTACAACCCATTAAACAGTTTTGATAAGGACTGTTTCTATCATGGATATTGTATTTTTTTTTGAAGTCCAAATAGACTGCAGTTTTTACCTTTTGTGCAGATTTAATGCAGATAGATTTGAATGTTGTATGCAATTCTATTTTGTAAATTGTAATTAATTTGTTTGGATATGAATTATTTTGTGACCCATTGTTATCAGCGTCTAAAAACTTAATTTCCATTAAATTGTGTATTGTAAAATTCTAAATACTGACAGTATATTTAGCACTATGTAAGAATTTATAATAATAATAATAATAATGGCATTGAATTCCAATTACTAGTACCTTGGTATAAATTCTGAAATATTATATAGACTTATTAAGTTTTTTAAGATTTATTTGTTTGTATGTCATTAACATAATGTAATAAAATTATATGAAAAATGGATTTGTGTGTGATTGTAAAATAATTGAAAAAAAATATATATATATATTATATATATATATTCTACAAGGAATAATGAGATAAAAATAAATATTAAACTAAATCTTTAATAAATCAATAATAAATGTTTAATCCATGTATATAATTATATTTATACATGAGGTATAATATTAGTTTATGAAAGGGTTAAATTGGACATATTTGGTAAGTTTTCCCGTATATAATTCAGTTTAAGGAAGTATTGTTCGGTAAAGTGTGAATTAAACAAGAACAAATAATGAGGTAAAACTATATTAAATTTTATTAACCAAACAATATAATATAAACATAAAACTTTATTTTATGTGCATGTTTAGTAATAATTATACATTTTACATACTAAAGGTATAACATTTGTTTACGGAAGACTTAAATCTGAATGTATTAGTAAGTTTACAATTTTCCAAACTTTATTAAATTTGTTCTTTTAATTTTCTATTAAACTCGTATTAAATGCTAATTATTTTCTAACGTTTACGATCCCACAATATGTTATACTATGCAGTTAAACATTAAATAACCGCAGCATTTAAATTGCATTTAAGGTAAAAGTAAACCCGACTTTTCATGCAGTGTCAGAAAAGAAAATAAAAAGTTGGGGTCTGTGATGTTAATTTTTAAATATTACTAAAATAGTGCTAATTTTAAGCTTAAATTAGGGCTATTTTTTCTTCATTTCACAATATATTTGCTATATTTATCAAATATGATGATAGAATTCATGACAGTTTATTTAATAGATAATTTAGGACCAGTATAAAACAGCTCACTGCAGAAAATAAGTACAAGTGCAGACTGTATGTAAAAATAGGAATCCAAACTTAACATATTTTAAATACTTAGAAAGAGAAAAAAATGATCATTTTCTTCTAAAAAAAACCTTCCGCCACAAAATATAGTTCCTCATTCAATACTTTAGGTATTGAATTTAATCATGGAGTTTTAACTGAATATAGTTAAACTGGCATTGTAGAATCCAAATTTATTGTAAGAGTTAAAACATTATGCAGAATTTTTGAAATATAGGTTAAGATAAAAATCTGCTCAAAAGCT